TTATTAATAAGGTGCTTTGAGTTACCAGTTAGTCTGTTGAGTTTTATCATGGCAAAGCTAAAAATGAACAAAAATGCTAATTTCCATGCTTCAACAATGAAGATGGTGACGTTGCCATGTCAGTAGGAACCAGAGGCTTTTCTTTGCAAAATACCATAGTATGATCTGAAAGCAGCCATTTGCCTCAAAAACGATGGTATGGCACTAACGAAAAGAAGGGATTGGCAGAAGGCATGCCATAGCACTGGCACGTCACAACATACCGTCCTGGTTCAAGCACTAGGTCAGCCTGACAGAACCACAACAGCTTCTGCAATAGCTAATCAGGAGTACCAGCTAATTTTCTTTGTTTTGAAAAATCAAATGAATATGACATGAGAGTATCCCAGCCACATATAGAAGCTACAAAACATTTTCAGAAAAAGATTTCTGTGTGAGGACAACCCTATCTTCATGCCTCAAAGTCAAGAGCTATCCTACACCAAGGGTGCAAACAGAAAACATAACAGTCTCAGCAATTCCTGTTGAACACCACACAAATTACTGTACCTGTATGAAATGCTGTGATGACCGTCATTGCTCAGTGTGTTATGATCAGGACCCTTCCAAGTAATGGAAGCCTTGGGGCGACCACAGACTTTACACCTAAGCACGATGGTCTCTCCTGTCTCACATGTTACCTCACTCAATGGTATTATAAACTCTGGGGGAACTGGAAAAAGAAAATTAATGGCATTAGGTCAATTAAAGTTAATCAATTTGCTTTTCTATTCCTTGTGCTCTCTCTTTTCTGTTAGACAAAGTAGTACGGTGCTTCAGATTTCCAAGGTTTTATCTATCCCTCTACCCTCGGCGCACATCCACGGTAATCAATTTGCTTTTCTATTCCTTGTGCTCTCCCTTTTCTGTTAGACAAAGTAGTATGGGGCTTCAGATTTCCAAGGTGTTATCTATCCCTCTACCCTCGGCATACATCCACGGGTAGGCCACTTCCTGGGGCTCTGCAGAACTACTGAACTTTTCTCTGCAAGAACTTGGACACAACACTACCGCTATGCCATGGTTAACCCTGAAGCCTACCTTGGTGAACCAAACACTCTGTTTATGGCAAGCTGGAGAAACCTTACAGTGAAAAGTATTTAAGGACGTGGTCTGCTAAGTTTGCAAAAGAGAACGCGAAACACCTCACTCATCCACTGCGGCACTGTAGTGGTTTATCTTTTTGCATACAGGTGAAACTAAAAAAGTTTAGCTCTGTGTATTAAGATAAAAACCCAGTTTGGCGCTGACCCCAGAGAGACACTATTCTTTGTTCTGATCAGCCTCTGCACTGGAGAGGCCCTGAACGTTCCCTAGGGTGTCGGGTTAAAAACGAAGCAGAAAGTCTCTAACTCCTGGCCTTAATATTTTACAAATTCAGCAAGGCTTAACTTCCACACAGGCTCCATGCAAATGCAGTAGAGAGTGCAAATCTTTCTGAAAAATGTGTCATATGGTCCTTGTATTTTCTATGACTTGGACTTATGAACAAAAAATGTGTTCCTTGCATCTTAAAATATAAATATGACATCTTTCATTAACTATCTCCTTTATCAAAAAAGAGCCTATGTGTATCTTGATAGAAAACACTCAGTTCCTGATGCAATTAATTTCAAGCAAATTTAAACAAATTAAATCATGTTGTGATCAAATTATATTTACTGAGACTTTTAAAAATTAAAGCAACTTACCATCATAAATGTAATTGGGGTTGAGAAGCTGGAAAGGAGAAGTTACAGAATTAACATCCTTATAACATTATAACAAATTAAAAAATAGTAGAAAACAAAACACAAGGATGGCTTGAAGTTAGCTGTACCCACAAAGATCCAAGAAACATCTGAACACCAGAATTTTCACACCACTCTGTTCTTTCTGCAGTATCCTTACGCTACATTACACTTGCAGGCTCGAAGATTTTATCTTCCTGTTTGGAGATTTGGCAAACACTGCCCATTAAAACTAGTGTTGCCTCCAATTCCTTCATGTGAAATTCTGACAGAAGCTACTTTTAAGGAAATCCCAACATGGCTCCTTTTGGAAAGTACTACACCTTCACAACATTTACCTTTACAGAAACCTTGTTGGCAAGTCCTTCTCGGGATTTCCGGTAACCGTTTTCTAGCTTGCCTTCCCTTTTGCCGTCTTTATCTTTTTTCTCAGATTTCTTCCTTAAACGGAGTGCTGTGTGCCAAGACGTAGACTTCCTGAATACAGAACATTAAACTTTGATCAATTTTTGTCAACTCCAGGCTATGTGTTATACACTTGAGTTTCAAATGGCATTGGAAGAGTATGTCAAAATGTTATTTCCTTTAATTAACGTATACTGAAATGAAATACTCCGTAAGAGATACTACTCTTGGTTAAAACTGTAAGCAAGCTAGTAAGATTAGTCTGTAGCTCAGTATTTCTGAAATCATTGCTTGAATGGTAAACTTTCTATACAAAAATACAAACTGTCAATCAAACTGAGCAATGATCAGTATGAAATCCATATAAAATATAGCCTATAGAAGCTTTACATAAAGCTTTACTGCTTTTTTCACTTTGATACAATTTCTCCCATTGCACATTCGAGAGAGAGATCTTCCTAGCACAACCAGCCATTCTCAATAGGTTTGTGGTTCAAAGTAGAGATCTGGGAACTCCGAAATCTTGTTTCACTTGGAACAAACATTCCCTGACTGTTTTTCTAAATGAAGGTGTCTAGCCTGATAAGTCATTCTATTAAATAAAGCAGTAACTATTTCTGCCCTTACATCAGGTATTCTTTCATCATCTTTTCCCAGAAGATTGCACTACTACAGCTTTTTAATAAAGAACACATGCTTCTGGGTGCTTTCTTACTAGCTTATGTTTTGAAGTTTGCTAAGGGACCTCTCAAGTACTCATTCTGCTTGATGTTAATTTATTTCTCATAGATCACATCAACTTTTGGTTTAAAAGGTTCAAAGCCTTGACTAAATTGGAAGTTTTTCTTCCTCCTCCCCTTCTACACACACCCAGGCACTCACTTGATGGTTCCATCAGGGTTGTCAATGATGACTGCACTGGTATGCCCCAAGACATAGCCGGGAATCCAGCCCTCGGCTGCGGGGCACTGATCAGTGGCGGCTCTGAACACCAAAAACATGTTCTGTTGGTTGCTGGCTAGAATCTGCACGACCTCTCCTTGGTAGACATTTATCTCATCCTCCTTCACTGCCGTGTAATCGTGTGTCACCAGCATGGTGGAGATATTGCTACTGCTGCTACTTTCACTCTGCAAGTGTCAATTGGAAGCACAAAGAGAGGGAGAAAAAAGAATCACATTTAAAGTTCATGAAGAAGACAGGCTGTTCTTGGCCTGCTACATTACCTGCATAATCCACATAACTTACGCTGTAGTCAAAGAAAAGAGCTGCGACTTCTCTTTTAAAGCTGCCTGTGTCTATTTAGCTTGTGCAAATTAGTTTTATCTTTGAATACCTTCACATACAGCAGCTGCAGAAATACATTCCCATTACTTTTACTCACCGTTACTTCACTAACTAAGGGTCGGTTTACACATAGATCTCAACTCGTCTTCCTTTCAGTCTCTGACACTGAACCTCACATCTTTATCAGGCAACAAAACTACAGCACAGTGCGTAGGACAGTTTTTCATGATCTTATAGGTGCAGTTTCAAAATCAAGACTTTACCTCATAAAGACTGGAAATCCCAACAATGAAAAATATATATAGTCTTTCCCAGTATTATTTGCCAGATCTCAGACACCAGCCTTCTGCACACAAAACACGACAAGGTACAAAAGAGGCTTTTGACAGCGTCTCTCAAAACCTCAAAGCTTGTCCCTGGTTGAATCTCTATGGTCAGGTTTGTTCTTTCAAATGCACAGGTTTCCTCATCGAGGATTTGCAGAGAGCTAATTACGGTTGATCAGGTGTACATCAAAAGTCATGCTACTTTTCAAAACAAAAAACCTTCTCCTGGACATGAAACCACTGGAAATTATTATTTTTTAAAAGTAAGACTCATTTTGTCCATTTGCATGCATTTCTCATTAGGTTTAATAAACAGAAATGTGAAATCTATTATCAGACTACGCAATCTATTCCGTGAAGTAAGTTATTTCCTTCTTGAAACAAGTTAAAAACAAAGGGGATGGCCTATTAATGATGTGGCATGAGGCATGTATGCCCATCTTTTATCTCTGTTCTTACTTCAAACTGTTTCAGTTAACTACCAGTGACGGCTCACTGTTGCTTAGTAGTAGCTAAGTTGAAGGAAGAAATCAGTATCCAGCTGTAGCTGGAGACTACTACGTCCCATGTAGTCTAACCACACGTTAGCACCACATACGTGCTAGCAGTGAAGGGAAAGCCTGGCACACAGGATTAAAACATCATTTCTTCTCAAAATTGTCAAATATTTCTCCCCGCAGTGTTGAGGAGATACCGGAGCGGGGAGTGGATGGCATGGTACACTAGGAGACTGGAAAACCACGTTCTCTTCCGACCTGCTAATGGCCTTGAACAAGTCACTCCATCTCTTGCTGCCTGTGATTCCCAATGAGCGTTTTGGCTGGCTAGCCTACTGAGAAACTAAGATATTTGGAAAGGAATAATCTCAGATTACTCATTCATAGCATGTGCAGCACACTGATGCCTGGGCTTCCAGATAGTCTGTACATTGTATTCCAGAACTATTTTATTCATCTGTGTGAGTCAAGTCCATTCTGTCTTTTTTCCCCTGCTAGGATGATGAGACAAATGCTACCACAAAGAAAGATCTCATCCTGGATTGTACCTCTAGTAAAGGACAATTTATGTTTAATTCCAGAGGCTGTATTTCCAGCCGGAGAACTCATTTTATTTGGCTTAGAGGACTGTCTGTGTGATCTTTTTCATTAGCAAGCCCCTTCTGTGATTCAGGCAAACCAGGGATAGTAGAACCAAAAAAAGGGTCTCATTTTCATTCATTGTTTAAATTAAGATTACAGCTTGCTAGATTCTTTAAGATAGACAAAACCCAACTCTATTCAGAGAAAGTTGCTTTTCTAAACTCCTTCTGCTAGACTTACAGGAGGAGAGGAAAGGAAGTAGCAAAAGCAACCTAAGCCCCAAATCTTGCCCCACACACTATTCCTGAACATACTGTTTCATATCATGCAGCAGGATTTGTATAACTGCAGGACTGACCTTCCGGTAATATAACATTTGTTTTTCATAGTTAAATCTTGAAGGATCATATTAAAATCTGCATATTTCTTATTTTCAACAAGGACAGACAAATCTGCGTCTGCTAACTATTAAGTGACAAATGTTCTCGTGAACGTGTTTATATCAGAATTTATTCTCACTACAGAAAGACAGCCTTTTCTTTTGCCTTGCAAGGAAGTAATTAGTCTCACACAGTTAATGTTTTTCTATTGCAAGTTCTGCTGGTCATCACAGACTTCAATTACGGGATTAGAGGAGGAATTACAATCAAAATATAAAAAATGCTCCCATATTCCTGAAATACTAGCAAAATCAATTCCTTTTTCTTCTTCTTAGAAATAACTTCTCTGCAAGTAGCCAACCTTAACCACATGTGCAGTTAAATACACACACACAAACGGTTAAATCAGAATAAACCTTCACAACCCATTTTCTCTAGCATGTTGAACATGGTGTGAAATCTTGCTAAAGCATGGTCTAGAAATGAGGTTATAAATGAAGAATTATGACTCCTCTCAATTACCCAACTAAAAGAAACATAGTTGTGAAGCAGAAGGCATGCATTCAGATATGACGTTTTACAGTAAGATAAAAACAATGGTGTCTTTGCTGAGATAATATCAAAACTCAAATGTTTTGAAAACTCAGTGCCATCCCGTCTCTCCCTCTCACTTTTTTTAATGGAACACCAATTAATACTATGCAAGTTTTCTCTGCAGATAAAAAGTATCACCATCTTGATTCACATATTATGAAGGAATTGCAAAATACTCAAATTATCCCAGATATTATATTATCATCACATTTTGCTAGACTGAAGAGAAACACAAGACAGAGCTAAATCAAACGAAAAGCTGAAGGAAGATCGGGATAAAAATACAATACATGCAAAGCATCATTTTTTCTTCTGAAGCTATTACAAAAGTAAGTGTAAGAACTAAGAAGTCAAGAAAGCTCTGTGTGTTAAAACAGTTCTAAAAAGAAATGCATGCATTTAAAAAAGTCCGGCAAGTTAGGTGATTTGCAAAACTGGTATTGCATACGATTTGTGAGAGAGTGGAAAAACAAACATTTGTGAACGGAACACTTAGTGAGAGAAAAATCAAATGTGAGTTTAAAAAGAAAGGCACCATAGCCTGCCTACCACATCCATGGCAAGTGCCTTGAAAGTTTTGCTTTATATTTGCACATGCCCCTGTGATTGCTGTGTTGCATTTCCTGGTGGACGTTTTGACAGAGAATGTGGATTCTGTTGATACCCCAGCTTTCCGCACAAACACACCATGTGCATACTAAAAGGTTGAATCTCCAGATGCCCTAAGCCAGTTCTTCTTACAAAGCAGAAGAGACAAGTGGAGCCGCTATTTGTTTTGGTTGTAGTAGAACGTGGATTATTTTAGCTAGGTTTTGTTGGCCTATTTTGAGTGGATTTCAGGAAGCTTCCTTGATCAGACACAGGATTTAAAAAAAGAATGTTGTACATCAACTAAGGCTGAAAGGAGAAGGGGGGGGAAATAAACCAATAAAAAATAAAAATCAAGCAGCCCAGGGAACGTACTGTAGATGTCTCCACGAAGTTAAAACTCAACAGGACAATGGTGGCGGATTTGTGCGTGAAAGGGAAAAAAAAGCCCCGTGGCAATCTGCCAAAATCTCGAAGTCAGATTTAAGTGCTGGCTGCAATGCATGCCCCAAGGTGCTCTGGCTGCCACGCTTCAGCATGTTAATTATGTGCCTTCAAATTAGAGACAAAAAGCAAGGAGAGCAAGTTAGTACCAGCCTAGTGATCTATGTTTTCAGCAGAGGCAGAAATCGCGTCTAATGTTAGCAGTTGCTTTTGTGTCTGTATACATACCCATGTTTGTATGCATACATACACAGAGAAGTAGACAATTTTGTTTTTTTAATGTGCAGAAGATACTCGAACAGTTGATTATTTCAGAGCAGTACAGCACTGGAGAGCCAGAAGTTAGTACGGAGAGTGATGGTAACGCACAGAAAGGGAGCGTGGGAAGGTTTTAGAAGAGCTCGCAGGACAGAGGTGCTCCGCTCTTACCCCATTACTCTGGGTGGAGTGAACTGACTGCTCGCTGGTCGAGGAGCATGTGCTCATGCGGTCTGTGTCCTTGCTGTGTGAAGAGTGGCCGCTGGAGGGAGTCATTGTCCCCAGGGAAAGTGAAGGAGCCAGGGCGGCTGGCAGGGGATGCTGGGATGGAGCTCCAAAAGGAGCCCTTCTGCAGGGGGCTGCTGGGTGGAAAGGTTTCTTTGCCAAAAGGAGAAGGGAAAGTCGTGGAGAGAGGAGAGTTCAGTGGTGAGATGGCTCCTGGCCTTGGCTTCCCAAGCGTCAGTGATCCTATGCTGTTTCTTGATCGACTGTCCTCTGAGCTTCCACGTGAGTCTTTCTGGGCTCCGTCAGCTGAGCCAGAAACGTTTCCCGCTGTCTTCCTGGGACTTTCAATAACTTTCATCTTGGGAATCTGCTCAGCTTCTCTCTGAGGACCGTCCGGTTCTGCATTGGGAGGGTGCCTGTCTGGCTGGCTCAGGCCAGTTTCTAAGGAGGTGTTGTAGTGTGGCAGGGAGAGATTGTGAATGGACATACCTGACATCTTGTCTGCCTCTGCTTGGGCCGAGGCTGCAGAGGAGACCAGGACTGGGGAATGGTGTCTGACAGGCTGGGGGATCCGGGATGGCCGG